TTATTGGAAGAGGGAAAGGCTGTGGATGTTGTTTACTTTAAATTATTAAAATCTTGCACACTCTTTCCCCAGGATTCTCCTGGAGAAACTGGCAGCCTACAGTTTGGACAGGTCTTTAAAGGGAAATATTTTCTTACATGTCAAATGTTGTAAACTCAATTTTGATGTTCTTACTTCCCTTGAGAAGGAATATCTTAAAACTAGACTAATGTTGAAGCCAATAAAGGCTGTTCCAAAATGGTGCATCACCATATTACATTAAAGGGAAATCTGGGTATTTTCTGCTTCTTCCCACATGCATGCTGTGCAAGAGAATGTGTGAGAAATCTGAACCAGACAAGAGGTGGGCTGCACTGGTGAGGAGCATGGTACTGAAGGGCAGGAAGAGGGCAGGGGTAAAGGCCCTGCAGAACAACAAAAAACTTGCAAAGAGCTTAGTTTTAGCAAAGGACTCTGTTTTATGGAGAAGATACTACAGTACTCATTCAGTGTAAACACAGGGAGCAGTCCAAAGTCTTGACAATTTAGCCATTAGGCAAGTTAAGAAGGTTGGACAGGAGGGTAGAAATGCTTATATATGAACTTGATCTCCAGTCACATTTGTGAATCTGCCTAAGGTTCTCAAACAATTCAACACACATTGGGACTGGAAACCTTTTCCAGGTCTTACTGCAAAACAGATTTCCATACACTGTCTAGGCTTTCATAGATTTCTGGGTGATGACTCAAATTTTCTTTGTCCCTCTGCCTAAAGTCTAACTCTCTTTTAAGAATTTGGGTTGTGTAGGCAAACAAACCCCACACACTTATATGCATTTCCACTCCACACATGAATCACAAACAGATGAACTCCACTTAGAACTGCCAAACTAATGCATCAATTAAACTCACAATGGACAAATTTGTGCTTGGCCAAGTGAACCAGCAGAATGTTTCTTATTAGGTGGACTTCAGAAGGAGATTTCTCAATATGCCCTTCAATTTTTAACTTGGAGACTTTCAGGTCATTGCAAATCCAGTTTTAAAAATTAAATCCTGCTATTTTCTACATGGATCTCTGAGAAAATTTGGACCTCTGCATTCCTCAAAGGCACACCTGAGCATGAAGTCCAAAGAAATGCCAGTAAGAATCAGTTACTCAAATGCTGGCCAAGTGAACAAATTCCAATACATGCAGCTGAATCATTTTGAATGTTTCCTTCAGGGAGGAAATTATTTATTTCAAATGGATGCATGAAACGACTGGCATCTGTAAAAAAAAACCCTAGTTCTTAATAGAATATACTGAAACTTCAAACTTAAGTAAGTCTACAAAGATATACCAGTATCTACATTTTCAATTACAAAAACAAAACAAGACAAACAAACAAACAAACAAAACCCAAACAAACCAACAAAAAAAAACCTAACACAAAAAACCAAAACAAAACAAGCCAAAGCCAGAAAAAATATTTAGAGCCCTTTATTTTTATTTAATTTTAAATGCTCACTCTCTCTGCTGATGTAAAAAGATAAAATATAATAACTATGCATATATTAATTAATTTCTCTCTTAGAGACTGAGGTGCAAAGTATATAAAATAAGAAAAGAATCCAAGGAATGAGAATTTGTCTCAGTTAACATGAAGATGATACAGCATTAATAAGATATGTGATTTATTTGTACAGTTATATAGTGGATAAATAAATTGTGAGATTATTTTAAATACATCTTTATGAAAAGATAGAAATTCTATCTTTATGAAAAGATAGAAAGATTTCTGAACCCCACCACAATTTAATTCAGTGGTTTTCATCAGGAAGATCCACAGGAAAACTGATTCAGTGCTGGCAAGGACATAGAGACTCTTCAGTTAGCTTGGGACAACTGGGAAACATATTTATCTGACTTGTGGCAACAGTGAACAAGAACTAGAAGAATGTGGTATCCGAGATAATCCTCAAGATTTTCAGTATGTAGGAATGCTGAACTAAAAGTCAAATCATGACAGTCTCTACAAGTAAATATTTATGAACATTTAGGGTAATGATAGTTCATGAAAGCTTATGAAAACTATAAAAATATAGCCATGCTACATGCATCTTAATCTATAGCCATGCATTATCAATAAAGTCCATGGAAGACTGCATTAAATCTAAATTGCAAGCAAAAAGCAAAATAATTTTAAAAATGCTTCCAATAAAAACTGAAATCTTAATTATTTTAAAATGTCGGAGTCTTTTACATTTTATTTGCATTTCAAATAATGCTTGGAGCATTACCCAGTAAGAAATTAACCAATTTGAACAAACCAGTGGGCCCCATATGAAGAGTGATATGCAAAATAAATATAAATGAATGAATAATAGAATCTTTTAATTTACCAGGTATGGGACAGGTACTATGGAATAATCAGGAAAACTGTTTTTTCCACAATGCATTCTCCAAAACCAGTATCCTCAATATTCCAAAATATTATAAAGAAAAGAAAATCCAAACAAGCAAAAAAGTAGAAGGAAAATAAAGCAGGACCATGCTGTTCATCCACGCACCTGGAGGAACAACTCCAATACCATCATCAACATCAAAATCTGAGATGTCACTATCACTGATTGGCCGAGATCCTGCACAACAGCAAGGTAAACAAATACCTGAACATCTGGTCATGTCATAATATGTAAGAATATGTTCATTTAACATAATAATGAAACAAAAAAGATGATTTTAAGTCAAAACAATAGAGAAGGAAAACTCAACTGCAGTGACTAACTGATGCTTCAGAAGATAGCTGAGCCAATTTAACATCTTACAGATGCTGCAGCCTCCTTTCCCTTTCTCTTCCCCTCAAGTCCTCAGTGATCTTCTGCTATGACAGATTATCTCTGTAAGCCTCCAAAAGACAAACTCAAGTAAAGGAAAAGAGCCACTTTTGTGCTACTTCAGTGAATATGCTGAATCAGCTTGCTGAACAGGAAAGGAGATGAGGCAACATATGGTGAGAGAGAGGAAGAGGAAACAGCACTGCCAGCTTTTAGAAAAGCTCAAGTATCTCACAAAAAATAACCTTTAATTTGGCTTCTCTATGAATATCCTGCATTTGGGCATCTATGCAGCTATTACAGCAGTAAAACATATTTATAGTTCATTCCTGAATGTGCACCAATTTCCTATGCATTGCCTGGAGTGAATGACTTCCATGTTTTAGAAAAATCAGAAAAATAGCTTGGAAATGCATTTTAAAATAATCCCCTATATCTTTCATGTTTCTAAGTAAATCTCAGTTTAAATAAACAGAGAAACTACAATGTTGAAATATCTCCTTCTTTTAACATGCCTCATGCAAACCTGAAATCAGACTCATGAAAACAACTCTACCTCCCAAATACATGAATACAAATTCTGTTTTCTGGAAAGATACACTTTAATGAGCATATTGGAGGTGAGACTAACTTTATGGTGAAAAGTGTTTTTAAGTCTTGTAAGAATTCAAGGACTTCTTTTTAGAAAAACAAAATGTTTTAAAATTTTTAGAAGCATTCAATAATTATAAACATCTTTCTATTCAAAAAGAAACTTATGAAAAAAAAAAATCTTTGACCATTTTTGCTTTGCTAATGAAAGCCAAATGAATTCCAGCAGGTTGAAAGTTATACATCACAGTTGTAAGACTGACTTGTCATAATGTCATAATTTAAATTGCCTTTCTGCCACACATCTTCACTACTTTTAAAGAATATTAAATAATATCTTTTTTATTTTATTTAGAATTTAAGTACCATTACACCATATCCAGCATTTCTAATTTAAAATTTAAGAGACCTTAATGGAATTTGGACCTACTTTGTAATTTTTTGCTAGTGCTCTCTCCACCATGAACATGTCTTCTTGGCATGAATGGTGATGGCTGAGGCAGAGGTAGTGAAGATTCATCATGTGTCTGTAGCTTATACCAATGTGGTTCATCATCTAAAAGTGCTGTCTCCAGCTCTATAAGAATCTAGCAGAAAAATCATCAGGTTTCAATTTCACATTGAAAGCACACAGAGAAACACACACACAAAATACATATGCAAATATACTCAAAACCAAACAATGAACTCAGAAGAAATGTGATTGTATGCATCACCTCTCCAAGAAATTCACTCTCTTCTTCTTGTACTCTTGGCTGATCCCATACTGTGATTTCAAGCATTCGTTCTCTAAAATCTCTACGATGTACATGTGAGTAGAGAAAAGTTTGATTCCATTTTGGCTCTAGACTTTTCTTTACCGTTTTGGTCCTTCTTTTACTTTTATCACTGAAACATAGATATTTTTTGTAAATTATTCATAGTGATAAATCAGAAAATACCATATACTCATCAGATTTTGTTATACATAATCTAGCTATAAAAATATATAAAAAAGAATTCTTCATAAGCATTCATTAAAAGTTGATTCAATACATGGTAAACTAAAGCATAATTTTATAAACTGGAATACTATTACCTTCGGTCTGGAAGAAAATACATTTTTACATAGGGATTTCTGGGGCGTCCATCTACTCTTGGTGGCAAATCTGTTGCCTGTAGAACATTCACTATTAATTGATGTCCCACTTTGTCATACCAGAGTTTAACCTACAGGAATCAAGTTACCAGAAAACATTACTGAAAATGGAGAAGAGAATTTTCAGATTGTATCAAAAATAACCACAATGTAAAACTAACTGTTGGGGTTTTTTCCCCCAGAGACAATGAGATACATTGCATTTAAAATCCCTTAATATTTAATTAGGTTAGATGGAAAAGATGATGGTATATAACAAAGACTGTTATATTTATCACAGCTGAATAAAATTATGGTGCCTGATTATACTTCCATTGTTTATTGTACTCATTGCATAACCTTGGAATTGTAAGTGCACCTAAACCAGCATTTCTTAGCTCTGCACCTTAAAAGCTACATTAAATAGAAAGCTGTACTTGCATCTTATCTCAAGGCATACTTGAAATCTATCTACTCCGATTTGTGACCTTTTCAAAAGTGTTTATAGAAAGAATAATATAGAGATACAACATTTCTTGAGAGAATCATTATGTTAGGAAATTTTGTTGAGAGAATAATTATGTTAGGAAGGTTTTAAGCCTGCCGTATACTCCTGAATTAATACAATCAATATAAAAAAATACAAGAATGTAGAAAACAAAGTTTAAGTACTGGCAGTATATTTAATAAGCAGGACTTCAGTTAGTATTACAAGAAAGTTCCAAGATATATATAAATTAAAATGCATTACTGAATTGTGTAATGCTTAACAAATATACAGGCCTTTAAATGCTCCCATAAAGAAAACAGTGATACTATGCTTGAATCTGCACGTGACTGGACATGTACAGCAAAGTCACTATTTTCAATGCAGAAGCTACAAAATTACAAGTTTCAAGGCACTTTTATGGGCTCTTGTCAACATAAATTCCTGCACCCTTTGATGTATTAAGACAACAATTTCTTATGTCTGCTATGATTACAGTCATGGCTTGTTAGTGCATCCAGAGGGTGTCAAAAAACTTCTGAAATATGTTAATCTTAACCAACACTAAACATTTCTCTTGGCCTCCCAATTGGCCTTGGGAATGTGCAGAGCTGAAGGACCAGCAATTCACAGATTTCCATTAAAAACCCAAGAAAAACAAAATATGCTCACAGAAAGCTGCCCTGGTAGGACCTGAGGTGCATCCCGTAGGGCTCCAGGGCTAGTTGGAGATATAACAGAAATAGAAGGCCTTTCCATCTTCTGAGATTCAAAAGAACTTGAACCTAAAACCACATGAAAAACAAATGAACTTACCCTCCAAAATCTGGATAAATTTTGAACTACTTTTTCTTTGAATTGTATAAAGTTGATGTAGAAAAGGGAGTAAAAAGACTGGTTTTCTAGCCCTACATCCCAGATTAAACCTGTAATTTTTTGGTTTATTTGAAAAAACATATAAAAGAGTATTCCTCATACATCATTGACAAACCATAGCAGATGTTTTAAATAAAATACTGTTTTCTGACTGAATTACACATCTCCCTCCCAGCACAAAGTACTCTGATTCTATGATCCTAAGTCTTTGATGAATACACCACATCTGTTGTATGGATTATACTCCCAGTAGCCTCTGACATTTTAATAGGAAGACTTGCAGGACATGAATCTGGCATGGAGGATATTTCAACAACTGCTGGACACCATCAGTTCTCCCCTAGTGAAGCAGAGCCCTCACTAATGATATGAGCTTGTGACAAGTGATCACACCTTCCCTGTCCCAGGGAAGGTTTCTAGTTGTACCTCAGGAAAGGCTCAGATGGGAAAAGACTGGGAGCCATGGCCCTCAAATACTCTGGCTGAAAACATGCAAATGGCATAGTTAAAAAGAACACCAGTATTTTGAAGTATAAACAAAAAATTAATCTAACCAATATTTTCTTGTTAAAAAAAAAAAAAGAGAAATGGGAACTCTGGACTTACTCTGCTTGGTGCAGGAGGTGAAATCCTGACACCATTTGTACCTTTGGCAGTCCCTTATACCTATTTTCCCTCTTATGTTAGGGCAAGTAAATTATTATTTTGGTACTAATGACACAAGATATAGAATAAAAAAATATAATTTTGCTTGCATTTGATATTGTATGTGTTTAATAAAACTCATATTGTTTCATACAAAAACCTCAGAGCCAATGCAATTTCCACAGATCATCTTTCAGAAATTTCATTGCTGAAATACTTTTGCTGGGTACAAGATCATGCTTAAAGAAATGAACAAGGTGTGTACTCACTAGACTCTAATGGGGGGTGGGAAGTCTCAGGAATCCGTGGAATATCACTAAAATGTAAATGCATTGCAATTAGAAACAATAAAGACAACCTTTGGCTGTGACAAATACATTGCTAGGACCGTGTTCTAACACGTTACAAGGAAAGAAAGAGGAAATATTTAAAGACATACTTTCCACTACCATTCATGAAAATCACACTAACACAAACTACGTTCAGGTTAAAGAACTAGCAGATACAACAATGTGAGCACCACAATGTTAACATTGTGGATGGATTACAGGATACTTTTACAACTGGAACAATAAAGGAAGAGAAATTTTAGGAAGAGAAAAATATACGGTACATAGCTGTACTTGCTTTGCCAAAAGGAAGTACAGCTATGGTTGTTCAACTATTTTCTTGGAGGAAAAAAAATCAAAAATAAGACAAAGATTAACTCACTAGTAATTTTTATATAAACGTCTCAAGGAGTTCAGAGAATGAAACTGATGAGAATGTCTTACAATAATAAAAAAGGAAAACGAAGATTATTAGCAGTGTTAAACAAACAAGTGAATAATGCATTTCTCCAAAAGATAAAAGAAAATGAAACCACATTACAACTGGGAATGGACATTTTTCCACACATACATATCCAACAGATATACAGATATAAGTAAGATAAACTGATTATGTCCACACACATCTGTCAGCATTTTATTGTCAATAAATTTATTCTTCCATCAAAATCTGGATGATGCTTGTTCCTGGCTCTTTCTATTCTCAGCCATCACTGAAAATACTTTACAAGAGCAACAATTATCTAGTACTGCACAAATCTTAACAAAGCAACAGAGTGGGGAAATGGAAATAAAACTCTTCCGTGAATTACTTGAATGTATTTTCATCCACATGGACTAATCCAAAATTGGAACTGTAATAACAATTCTGAAGAACATTTACAAGATTTTAAGTCTATAGTTGACAATTTTAAAGGTATTCAGACAGTCTGCTCAGTGAAACAGTCTGCTCAGAAATCTTTCTGACTTGGAACTCAATGAAACTAAGACTCCTAGTTATATGAAAGTCACTTACGAAAAAGAAACAGACACTCGTATCAGAAAAAGAATGCAACGGTGCCCAATCACTGAGACTTAAAGTCACTTTTCGTGTCCTGCAATTTACACTTGTGGTGCCTGTGTTTTAAAATAGACTATTTCAGCTCTGCATTAATGTCTCAAATCAGCTTAAACCTCACATCGCTAAACAAGAATGTGCTTCTCCTTGTCTTAACTTCATGAGTCAAGAATAATGTGGTTTCCTCAAACTCATGGAATTATAGCTGAATTAGTCATTCTTGACACGGCACAGTACTACTCTACAAACTTATGAACATATATGAAAGATATGAACCTGTTGAACAGCAGGGCTGCTGTGCTGTCTTCTTCCTCTTAACATTTTCTCTTTTCCTGGTCAGACTTTCCAGGGCATTTCTCATCAGTTTGAAGTATTTACTTACCATAATCAAACAGATTTTTCTGTTCAATACAATGTTAAGTTTGCAATATTTTCATGTGCTAGAATATGAACACTCTCATCTGCAGTATAGCATTGTTTGTAATATCACTTTTAGGATGTCTAAACGAAGGTTCACATGCACAAGGACTGTTTCAACATGGAAAGTGCCAGCCACAGTGCCAAGTTCTATAGTCCTGGTGTAATTAAAGAATAACACTAAAACTAATTCTGTTTGGATTTTTTCCTTGTATTGTCAACAATACAGTAGGAAAAAAAGGCCAAAAATAAAATTGAAATATTAATTACACATTAATAATAACTTAATAACGGATTCATATTTCTGCTAAGGTACTGTCACACTATTACAACCAATACAGAAAAATTTAATAATAAATCAACAGGAGAAACAGATCTACACTGTTTAAATGTTGGCATTTTAATTAGAGAATGAACATTCTAAAAGGAAAGTATAATCTAAAACTTTTCATGTAAGAAACTAGTCTTATCTAGCCTGCTTTTAATTTTGCACTGCAGAAAAAATTCTGATATATGATTTACAAAAAAGGTCTTTAAAGAACTAGTAGTTCATTACTTAAAATATTCAAAACTAGACTAGTCAAAGAAAAATTAAGTGAAAAGTTATACAGCTGCTTATCAAATACAGTAACAAAATTTTACTCCCCTTTTGGAGCAATATGAACTTGAGAAAAGTAGTGTCAGACACACCTGCAGTAAAGAGGTGCCACCTTCAAACTTTGTCTTTCTATCTCTACCTTGTGTAGTCTTACATGATATTACATATTATTATCTTATCCTTTCATGCCTCAGTGACTATAAAAACTAAACAAAACCGTACCTTATGTTGAAACAACTCTGTGCAGATATATGGTTTGTGAGAATCACTATTTTGCACAGGAACAGCTATAATTTCTCTGAGGGATATAGTCAAGAGGTTGCTCACTAAAGAAGAACCAAATTCAAATGTGATCATAACCCACACTTTTTAGGTTGTTCTAGGAACAGATGTATCATATTCTACACCCCAGAGAGCTTCTAAAGAGTTTCTGACTACCTCTCCCCAGTGCTCATCCTGCTATTTCCAAATCCATTCCTTGCCATCAGAACCTGTAGATCAATCTGCAGTTTGCAGTAATTACTTGAGCAGGTCTCTGGAGCTCAGCACTGCCTGGTTTATGATGGAGGTTCAACGTCCATTCCAGGACCTAAACCACATTAACCAATGCTGCAGAGAGGAACTGGATCATAGAAGAGAAACAACAGTTTTGGCAGCATTATCTGTGGAAATCTAAGCAAAGATAGCTAGCATCTGACAAAGAAAACAGAGACAAATGAAAAAACATTTGTTTTACCTGCACTGTCCCACAGAGCACACAAGAGATGGTGAGTTAGTTACCATGCCACACGTCTTCTCCAAAAAGTATACTGCCAAAGGATTTTCTGTGCTGTCCTATGTTAACCACCTCTCACATTGTATGCATATTCATAGGTAATTCTTCCCCTCATATTGAGATAGCCAACCCATTAATTCTACTTTTTATAGGTTCCTTATCTACCTTGTGTTGCAGCCATTAGAATTAGTGTCAATTAGTTTCTATGGAGTTTCCATGGTACTATTGTGGTTATACTGTTCATTATTGTTATGCCTTTAGCTGCTAATAGTGTTATGTGCTTCACATTTTTCTCTAATAAACATCCTACAATTATCCATTACTTAAAATTACATTTGCTGTCAGACAGAGAAATCCAAATTTACAGGACTGAACAAATTGTTTAGACCGCAATTTTGTAACTGGCAGTCTAATTTGTGGACTTACTTCCATTATTCACTTAAGGCAAACTGTGTCATATTTGGGCTTTTTAGACCTAATATGCTAGGAATTTTTAAATCAAGACTATTAAAAGTGCTGGTACATTATTTGCATTATTAATACTGAGAGATGAAAACACTTAAATTATGTAGATGAAATACCATTTTCAGGCCTTTCGGGAACCTCGTCCCTCATAGGACTTTTTGCTGTAATGGATTATCACTTAATGCTGTATCAAGCAACTTCAATTTTGCTTAGTCAGCACCTAAAAGTACCCACCAAACTTTGGCATACTAGATCTGTTGTTATGGGATGAAACAAAATTCCCTGTCATGAATCTGAAACCATCACACAGTTTGGAAAACAAGACAAAGTGGAGCTAGGGACAAAATCAAAGTAATATGTTAATCAAGCAAATAATTTTCCATTATGCAAGAAAATTTACATAGATCATAGCTATTAATAAAACAGCAAAAAGGGGGAAAAAGGTACTGTGCAGTATGCTCTTTCTTTTGATAACTACTATTAGGATTTTCTCTGTTGTACAATGTCTGAAATTTTTGGTTATTTTCAGATGACAGACAGGTAAATCCCAATCTGACATAAAACAACTGGACTTTGACTCATTACTGCAGGATAGAAGGGATCTGTCTTTAAATTTTAAAGTTCTGTGCTCTAGGGATAATTATTTTCTCTCATAAAAACCCCAAAAAACAATCTGACCCTCAAGCAAAAGAAAAAAAAATTAAAATCTACAGATAAATAACTCCGCACTTATCTCAAAACAAAAGCAAAATCTAATGTTATCTGTTTTTGACTACATATTGAAAAAATATATATGGGTCATCCAAAGAAAAATTTTACATTTTATTGGGTACTATTTCTGGGTGCACTGTTCTATAAAATCCACTGTTCAGATTCAGGAACATTCTTTGACTTTGAACAAACTTCAAAAAAGTGTGGTATTTTTTCAGTTTTTCTTCAAGAATGTGGCACTGGAATGCGGTCACCCTGTACTTATTTTTTCTAAACTAATAGATTTATCAAATTTGTAAATTAAAAGTATATATTTGATTTAATACCAAAGCTATCTTAGAAGTTTAAGGGCACACAACATTTGCAATATTGACAGCAATAAATATGTCTAAACTCCATTATTTAAAATGCTAATCTAGCACTTTCCTTTTACATCAGTTCTACAGTTGTACAAATCTATTTCCATGTTTTCTACAATTGAGATGTGGAATTGAAGTCGTGTCCAGTATCAACATATTTATTTTTTTGCTGATTTAAATATAAAAACTAGACTTCCTAAAATCTCCTTAAGGCATGTCATTTTTAATAACAAATCTGTACAACTGAATTTGCAATTTTATTTTAAGAATATCTCCTAATTTAGCTCCAAAAATGCAAAATAAAGCTTCTACTTCTCCAGGGTCTTCAGCTGGATGGTAATTATAGCATTTAACAGCCACTATTATTGTATCAGACTTTCATTTTCCATTAGAAGATCAAACTGATAGGTGGAATTACCTATTAATGTCAATTTTTAAGCACTTTTAATAGAGATTGTCATTAAAAAGGCAAAATTTATTTGCAAAATATAGCTACACTCGCATAGCACGGAAAAAATCAATAATCAAAACATAAAAGGATATTTTAGTCAGAAAGAAAATTAATAGTTTTTTGTTTCTAAAACTGAAAAAGTATCATATTCAAGACAAGCAAAAATTATAATTAAGATGAAAATAGCAAATTCAAAAGAATCACTTCTTATTGTAAATCATGCGACTCTGTTTTGCACGGTAAATGTGAATTTAAAATAAATAATTCATATTCAATTTTGTAAGACCTAGCTCAGAACATTCCAGTTATCATTAAAACTACTATCACTAATGCAGGGCAAATCCCCCCCAATTTTATCAATTTGAACAGATATTATTTTCCTTCTGTTGTGGTTTGACACGGAAAATGAATTTTTTTTGGAAGGAAGAGGTCAATCCAGTCAGGGGTCAGGTTTGGATACTGACACTTAGAGTGACCAATTGAAGGTGGACACGCCTCTGAGAACACAGAGGGGTTAAAAGCAGAATTCCCAGGAGAACTCGCTCTCTTTGGTTCCAGTCATCGGAGAGTGCAAACCTCCCCTGCCCAGCAGTGAGCTGGGTGGGAGAGGGGAAAGCCATGTGGCCTGGGGAGGTAGGCCAGGGGGTGAAGGATCGGGAATCATAACAGTGTCAAACCATAACACCTTCTAAGGCGTATTCAGGAAACAAGAATTATTGTCACAAAACTCCGAACCTGAATTCATAATAAAAAAAATAAAGATTATAAACATAACACATTTATGCTAATTTTTAATTGAATCTTTTGCTTCCATGTTTGACAACAAACATTTCAGGGTGAGTACAGTCTTTTCAACTAAATGCTTTGTGTTTCCTTTTTTTATCCTTTTTAAAGAGGGCCTGTTTAAAATCCTCTTAGTATTGGCTTAGTATCCTGCAATGCTTCCCTCCACTCATGAAGATATTTATAAGTTATTCTGATCTAGTAGGCTGAAAGCCTGAAAACCAAAAGTTTGTCATGCACAGGTGTACTAATCCATCAATTTTCCTTTGCCACTTGACAAAAGTCTTTATAGTACTTTGACCACACAGAAAACAATACTTATGCTTATACGTCACTGCAAAGGCACAAGACTGTAAATGGTAGTGAAGAAAACAGACTACACAGAATGTCAGTAACAGAAAGAGAATTGTATTCCATTATTAAGCAATAAAAATAATTAAATCACAAATAATCCCTGAAAGATTCCTATTAACAGAAGTAATAACTGTGCTAAAGAAGTAAGTCTTTAGCCTTACCCAATAGGCCTTGAAACAATGATTTCAACTTGAGGTTCTGATTTTGATTCTAAAATAATGTTGTAAACTTCTTCATTTGTAGCTCCAGGCAAGGGTTTACCATTCCATTCTAGAACTTCATCCCCTTGAATTTAAAGAGAGGTTATCTCACTTTTATATTTTTTTATAAGGAATGAAATCTACATTTTCAAGTAACATAAAAATAATTTAAACCATGAAAAAGCTGTACTGAAACCTTCAGACACTTTCCTGTCAAGGTGCTTTTTAGCTGGTTGGCTCCCAGCCAACCAAGTTACTCTTGCACAAAGATGTTCTGTTCCTCATGCAAGATTTCATATTTGCAATTATTAACATTTATGAAGTTTGTACAATTATTCAAAGTTTTATCACCTACCTAGATTTTGGATGTTTTTTATAAGGAAAAAAGTGGTTTTACTAACTCCAAGGACTCATCCATACCTTTTTTATGTGCTCTGGTCCTGTGCAATAGGATGAAAAAACTTTCACGCATTGGACATGTGCAAAACAATATCTTTTTTCTGGGAAATAATTTTGGCTCTAAAACAAGTTTTAGAAATTAAAAATAGCTTTCATTAAAAAAANAAAAAAAACCTAGATCAGAAAAGAAAATTAGGATTTCAGCCCAAATGGTTTAAGATTAATGGAGACAAATTTATTTCCTGTAATTATAATCTGCATTTAAAATCCATAAACAACTTCTGATTTGGTAAGAAAGAAAAAACTAAAAATGGCAAAAAAGTAGAATTTTATTAGAGTCTCATCATCCTTTCTAGTTATTTATTACTATCTGCTTCAGGCAATTATCCTAAAGCCATCCACACTGGCACTGGAGCTTCTGGGTTCTTAAGACACTACATAGGTACTTTGGTTTGTTAAGACAACATTTGGAAAGTAGCTGCTTAGAGCTATAGTAAAAATATAAACCATTAAGAAGTGACTATGAAAGCCAAATGCTGTGCATAATTCTCACATCATTTAGAAGCTTGAAAAGTGCCATTAGCACAGCCATTTATTTGTAAGCACAATATATACCTCTAAAAGAAATGAAACGTTTTAGGACCTTTTTTCGGCTTATTTTCCATTTTCATTTGTAACAGTTAACACTGAAAGGAACACTAATAAAATCCACTGTGTATGCAGTGTGTCATCCTTCAGTGATGTGAACTTTGTTTGCCACAATAAGTTAAAAAAAAATGTTTGCATTGCTTCTGTGGAGTGTAATAAGCAGCTCCTGAGCTAGCAAACAAAAATTTACCACTGTCACTCAGTCCTCTTACCAGCATCCCTCAGGAGTGTCTTTTGTTTTGCTCATACATCCAAACAATTGTGTTCATAATAAACTAAAAATGTAGACAACCATGGCATTTCATAACATTACAGTACTGTTCTGTATTTAAAAAACAGTACTATAACACATGACAAATGTTAGTATAAATTAAAGGTTGCATTCAATAGGCCATTACTAAAAGACAATATATGTTATACACAACTGATTGATTTACCTGCTCTGAGATGCCCCACCACATCAGCCAAGCTACCTTTCTTCACTTTGGTAATGAAGGCACCAAGTCGTCCTAATTCTGTCATTTTTCCTCCAACAACCTAGTTAATCATAAATTTGTGAGTCTCCAAGCCATCAAGCAGATGTCACAGAAAACACAAATATATAGACTAATCAGTTTTCCCATTATTTTTAAAATTACACCTGAAATGTTCATAGAAAAACATATTGTCAATTTGGGTTTTAGAGAAGTTTAAGGACAAAAAGAAGTAAAACTGACACACAGTGAATAAAATTCATATTCCTTTTACTGTTTCTGAGCAGTCTTACACAGTTTGCTGAGTACCTTCATTTGTTGCAGAAAGAACAATTAATAAATTACCAGGCAAATGCACTTTTTACAAATAACTGTCATATACTCAAATTTAAATTGCAAGTGTATGAAATCCCAAAATGCAGCTGGTACATCAATTGAAAACTTAGCAAATTCACAACTATTACATATGGGCAATGAGTTCACAAGAATGTTGGTACTACTAAAACATAGGCAGTCATCCAAGAACATGACAGGACAAGCCAGAAACTTCTGGCTTTTGTTGAACAGAAGAGAAACTGAAACTGAAGAGATCTGTTTTTGAAGATGACTACAGGATACAGAGATAGGAACATCAATAAAAAACCAAGTGCCCTCAAGAGGCCAGATTTCATATAAAATACAAAGAAAATGTAGTGTTGCTGACTTATCTCTTTAACTATCTTACTCTCTCCAGTCACGTGAGGGGCTTTTTTATTCTGGTTTATTTTTGGTCAGGAAGATCCCAGAGGAGTTTTATAATAAAATGAAAGAGTGGAATGATGGTTCATTAGGTATTTGTTCCCCATGTTGCAATCACAATAACTAGCAGGAGCTTTAATCTCAAAAAAGTATCCAGAAGCCTATCTGCCAACAATATTGTCACATGATAGTGTGTAAAATTTATCAATGAGGGCCTTAGTTCATAATACGTACAACTAAAACCTGAAAAATCAAGAGAAGCTCTTCAACTCTTCAATCTAGTTTGCCTACTTGGAGCAACCTTTTTTTCTCACATATTCAAATAGAATTGTTTGCTGGCATCAAAGATATGCTTTTTGCTATAGACTACTGAACATTTAGTAGAGTGAAGCTGTTTTCATCTTTTATGTTACCATCCCACAATATCTCACTTCAAGGTGGGAATATTTCAGATCTTGCATTCTTTCTGTTGTCCTCAGTGGAGAGGGAAGGACACCCAAATTAAATTCTATCAGCCATCTTTGTTGCTCCATAGATTTAAAAATATACAAAAGAGAGAAATGCTTGAACTGGTACACTGTATTCCCCACTAGCTTCAGAAACAGAACTCTCTTTTAAGTGTTCTGGCAATTTAGACACATAAACCTAAAAGTCTACTAAAAATGTAAACTAGGGATTTAAATCAATTAGACAGTGTTGCCAATATCTTAATTTTGGGGCGCTACATTAACTGGAATTACATTTAATATAACGCCTACTATAATTTAAGAGGATTTCTGTGTAAATATTTGGGTTTTTTCTACAAAAAATCTGTTTTCAAATGGTCGTGTGGCTTTTAAACACAGTCCTTGTAAGCATTTGCATCCAGATGAAATTTATGTTTGTGAATTATAAGATGAATTACTTGACTAAATTGCAAACAGCAGAGCTAGAAAAGGCAGGACTCCATTAATGCATTGCCATGTGTAGTATGTATCTTGCAGACAGGAATCTGAATAAATATACCCTTTTGAATCAAAATGGTTCAGCCCCTTTGTCATGGATGACTGAAGAATGTATAGAAGGAGCAAATGTATTTATAGTCATAATCTATCTGTATAATTTTCAAAATTTAGGAAAAGAGAGGAATACATTTTTTGTCAAAAGACCATATGACTGGAGAGTCCTCTGATTTAATGTGTTACACCTGTATGTCTAGGGTCAGTGGAACTTCTTTGCATTTAGCACATAAATCATCTAATACTTACTTTTAGCCCCAGTAATGCACCTGATTCTTTAGGCATGGTTGTTCTCTTGTTAAGAATAACACGCCCAATTAAGCGATCTCCCTCTTTGGAAGGTTGCCACGTTACGGGATGCTGTTAAAAAACAAGCAATTAAATTGAATTGGAATTTTAAAACTGTGAACATCCTCCAGTATTGAGATGCATACGTATAAACCAATAAAATTACTGCATCATCATGCCACAGTAGACACAAACATCCTTCAGATGTGTTACATAATGCACCTGAGTTTTCTATCAGTATATCTGTTGGACCCTGGCTGCATTAAACATTTATGCCTCTTGTAAGAAAATCTCTGCATTAAGTCTACAGATAGAACTATAATCCAGTTCAAACATCAATACAATTAAACATTTTCAATCCACCTTAGATAATAAGATTAAATATTTACTTTTAAATTACACAGCTCTGAAAACCACATTCAGAAATTCTGTTCTTTAGAATAACATATGTTATACAGGCCTACTATATAAGGGTTGGTTATATAATAAAATCAAAATTATGCTTTCCAATTCCAAGTCTTAAAAAACAAAAAAAAATCACTAATCTTTCCCAGAGCAGCATCACACTCACAACTACTTTTTCTTTTGTTCATGGTGATATTAAGTTCCATGTCTATAAAGGAGCTAAAGTCAAGTTAAAATTCAGGTAATTTTACAAATATGCATTCTGGTAAAACTTTCTTTCTCATTTCCATTTCCTTGGTAGTCTAAAGCAAGTTTTCATCATTTGTGTAGAAAACTTTTTATAGTCAAATATCTATGCCAAACTGAAATAATTAGCAAGCATTTTAACTTATACTTATGAATCCCTATTTTCTATTTCTTACCGAACTAATAGGGGACGTCTCTCTGCTGTGCCACGTGGCAGGATCCAGCCAGTAATAATCCAAGTCACCTGGAAGAATATGAATAGAAAGAAATGTGTAATCCCTCAAACAGAGAAAGATGTATGAATGATTACTTCTGCATGCATGAATTTTAAAGTGCAATCATTTGATGATGCAAATGCAAAACTTTTATTATTATTAAAATCAATATATCAATTTTAAAACAATATAGTGTATTAATGTAAAATAATTATATTTTATAATTACTTTGCTTTTTTCATGAATTGCACCTTAGAATTGGTTGTGCACACTGTCTATTTTTACCTTTGCTCAGTCCAAGAATGGACCCCAAAGCATCACATTCACAGCCCTCCTCCTCCCCATAATTTCCATAATAAACACACAGGACTACAGCTAATGATGACACGAGAGGAAATACTCCACAAAATAGGCACTTAGTTATAGTTAAGGACAGAACAGTAAACCATGCTCTAGAATCTGCAAAGATCAATGTTGTGACAACAGGTACTGTACAGAGCAAGAGGCACGGGAGCAGGAAATAGAGTACCAGAGGGAACAGCCACACAAATACAGCAAATAGTAACAACAGCAGGTACAAGGCTTCAATCTTCTCTTTCACTTGGGACAAACTTATATGCTATGTACCTCAAGAAAATTACCATGAATTACAGTGTTCTGGAAGCCATCAGCCTATCAGGACACAGCGGCAATATATCTTCAATATCTTACTTTATAAAAGAGATCTCTGTAACACTATTGTTAGGTGCCTGTGTTTAGGAATAGTAGCGGATTGAATAGAAACCCAAATAAAACATGTAAGGGAGAAGAAGATACCTTCACATGCAGAGATTTTTTAGTGCTTTCTCTAAAAATACCCAGATGATGATTATGAAATACAAGTTGCAACATTCTCTGTAACTCATACAACCTTTAATAGCTTACCATCTACATGATCATATGCCCAAGTTTATTTTTAAACAGCATATTACTATCATATGCATAACCGCATGAGGCAGTCTGTGGTTTCATTAGCTACTTAAGTTCTGCAGGTTTGGAAAACACATTAAATCACATTAAAGATCTTTCAGTTTTATTTTTAGGATCTTTCCTTGTGCCTCTATAAACTTCAAAAGTACAAGAACAACAAACCCACAAACCACACTGAGACCTGCAGTGCTAGCAGCAAGCTCTATGAGACAAAGCTCCCCAAGTTTCAGTAATGGACTCAACAGTAACACCAAAAATGAGCTGTCTCCTGTGGGCTGACCTGTCACATGCCAAACACAACACACCTTGTCTTCTTGTTTCAGAGTTATTTGCTTAGCAATAGAGAAAGCAATAGTTCAGAAGGGAATAAATGTCAGCTCCAGCATGCAGACGAATGTATCCAAGACCTCAAACATATTTCTGCTAACCCCCATTGTTCCCTGCTTTCTTTTCCTGTCTTCCTTCCTAGATTCAGCTTCTTGCTTTTAGTTTCCTTGCTGGTCTTCCTCCTGGTTACTGCAGTTCCATTTCCTTCTTGCACCTAGCATCTTTCTCCACCAAGTCCCTGCTATAGCAAGATCCTCTCATACATCTGTCTTATCTAACCTGCTGATTTTCCTATTCTCACCATCTACCTACCCTATTGCTGCCTTTTCTTCCCTGCCCATTTTTTTCTGTCATCCATCTGCTTCTGGCTTTACTGTTCTTTCTGTATTTTAATCCCTATTTAGCCTCAAATCCTCTGATGCTAAGTTACATTCCTGCACCCTCCTCCCCACATCTGAACCTTTAGGTGTCTGTCCCTTTTCCCCCTTCTCTCTCTGCCCCATGCTTTGCGAAATTCCAAGCACCAGCTACATCCACAGCAGCTGGCCATGACACCAATTCTCTCACCCTCTGCTCTCAAAAGCTGAGGGCAGGAACTGCACTGCAAATGCAGCTCTACTGAGCTGGAACATGAATGATATGCTCAGAAGCTATAAAGGTAGCTATCAAATCAAACATCTTGACTGAAGGTCACTGAAAGTGGTAAGTCTACCATTTGGTAATACTTTAAAAGCTACAAGAATATGTGAATTGGATGAAGAAAAGTACACATTCTTTAAACATAACTCAATTTTAAAAGTTCCATTAAAATTCAGTATGATACAGACCACTGGCACACAAATGTCTGGGGCAATTTATAACTATAAAAAAGATTATACAATGGAAAATGTCAGTTAATCTATTCATAAACACTCATCAAATAGAACATAAAAGTTAAGACACAAATGAAAAAAAAAACAAATGGGCATTAAAAATATTTTATGCCAGCAACACTGATACTAGGGACATCTGCAGTTCAGTATTCTGTTATATCTTTGAAAATAATTTCTCCTTGGTCATCCTATGCCATTGCTGCTTCTTCACCTGATGCCTATTTATGCTATTCTTGCACTGCCACACTCCACAACTCACTCTTTAATTGCACAAAATAACTTAACAGCAGCAGTGTTATGGAGATCTGGGAATAGGTAAGTAACACGCAAAAAACTTACTAAGAGCATAGCTTCAAAATTTCAGGTTTTCTCAAAAAAACCCCACCAAAACTGAAAACAAAAGTCCCTATACACAGAGAACACTCTATTGGTAAAAGTCTTTAAAAATAACTAATAAAACAAGAAAAATTTAAGACATTAAAGAGAGGAAAAAACTACTTTTATAAGGAGCAAATAATATCTTTATAGGCTTAAACTACTTTTAAATAGTCTTTAAACCATTCTTTAAAAACATGAAAAGCTTAAAAATAATAAGCCCCCACAAAAATACACATATACTGCATCGTTATTTTTGTACATTACTGATGTATTTCTAAAACATATTATTAAAAATGCATTTGCAGTTTTTACGTATGATTTCCTTAAGACCAGCTGAGTAATACAGAGTATATATTTGTAAAACCTTATTTCCTAAGGGAAGAATTTAAAAGTTGCATCCTAACAGCAAGGAAATGCTTTTCTTATTAACATGCTCCAGTTCAATTACTTTACTCTTTGATGCACATGGATACAATAATAACTTACAAAATACAAATGTGTTGAGCTTTTTCCATAAGTCTTTTGCAGCCTTCCATCAAGATTCTAGATGGGGAGTAAAAGTCTTAATAAATTCTCATTGTTTTTAAATCTGCAATAAGTGTGCTTTCAAAATAAAGGGAAAGCTAACTCATACAACCAAAAATCCATTTTCTCAAAAATACTTTGTCTTCAGCAGCACTATTCATACCAAAAGGTAATGCTGGGGTACTGTGATTTTAAGTACGATCCTGAAAAGCTGAGAATTTCTGGAAAAACAGCCTTGTCCCTCTCACAAAGCCAAAACAAGCACAAAATATGAGAGGGTCTGTTATTGACTATGAACAGTTATGCTGATTTTCAAAGAGTCTTGAATACTGGGGATAAAATACCCTGAGATGTTCTCCTAAGTCCATCCAGACCGCATTCAGAGACTACTGATATTCAGCAAAGAATGTGCTTCAGCAATTTGCTCAAATTCATATGTGGTGGTGTTACTTAAGAAAAGAAGCAGAAATTAATAAGTTAGTCAGCCCATGTTAGGCACTTAATTGACCATTAGCAGCATGCTACTGCTAATTAATATAGCAGTTCTATCAGAGAACTAAGAAACTTAGACAAATATTTTTCACAGGCTACATCTAAAATTACTCTGCAAACTGAATAGTCAGTCTACATCTCTCTAATTAACCCACAGAATCATAGAATGGCTTGGGTTGGAAAAGACCTTAAAGATCTCTTTGTTCCGACCATATCTTCCACTAGACCAGGTTACTCCTAATCCCATCCAACTTGTCTTTGAACACTGTCAGGGATGGGGTATCCACAACCTCTCTGCGAAACCTGTTCCAGCACCTCACTCCATTCACAGTCAAGGTCTTATCTAAATATGCTCTTTTTCAGTTTGAAGCCATTCTCCTGTGCCCCATCACTACAATCACTTGTAAAAAAAAAATCTGCAGGTTTGTTGTAGTCCTCCTTTAGGTAGTGAAGAGCTACTAAAAGGTCTCACCAGAGCCTCCTTTTCTTCAGGATGATCAACCCCAACTCTCTCAGCCAGGAAACATGCTTCCATCCTCTGACCATCTCCATAGCCTTCCCTGGATTCACTCCAGCAGGTCCATGTCCTGCCTATATTGGGAGCCCAGACCTGGATCCAGCACTCCATGTGGTATCTCACCACAATGGAGTAGAGGGACAGAATCACCTCCCTCAACCTGCTGGTGCTTTTTAGGCAGTCCAGGATGTATTTGGCATTCTAGGCTACAAGCTGCCAGCTCACATTGAGCATTTCATTCGCCAACACCTCCCAAGTCCTTCTCCTCAGGGCTGCTCTCAATCCATTTTCCACTCAGTCTTTACTTGGGGTCTGTTGATAAAATCCACCTCTCTCCAGTTTAGAGGCAAGGATGCCATATATGGGAGAGTGTCAAATTTCTTGCACAAGTCCAGGTAGCTGATGTCACTCTTCCTTTATGCTGTAACTTCATTGTAGAAGGCAACTAAATTGGTCACACATTATTTGCCTTTAGTGAAGCCCTGTCGGCTGTCAGCAATCACCTCCTTATTTTCCAGTTTCCTTAGCAGAGTTTCCAGGATGATCTGCTCTATGATCTTGCTGGGCACAAAGGTCATACTGGCCTGTAGTTCCCACCACCTCTCATTTTTTTTCTCTTTTTAAAAATGAGGATTATGTTTCCACTTTTCCAGGCATTGGGAACCTCACCAGACTGCCAGAATTTCACAAATATGATGGATAGTGGCTTAATCACTTCATCTATCACTTTCTTCAGGAGTGGCAGTTTCATCTCATCAGGCCCCATGGACTAGTTCACCTCCATGTTCCTCAGATGGTCTCAAACCTGATCTGCTACAGTGGGCACTTTCTTCATCTCCCAGCTCCTGCCTTTGCCTGTGGCAGCCCGGGCAGTGTGGCTGGAGCACTTCTCAGTGAAGACTGAGGGAAAAAGTAATTCAGTACCTCATCCTTCTCCATATTCTAATCA